TTGCATGGGTGATCTGTCATTTTGGCATTCTGGGGTATACATGTGAGATACAGGCTAAGACTAGGAGTCTGAAAAGCATCTCTATTTAAACAGTATTTAGATATAAGAGAATGTATGCAATCATCCATCCCAAGGAGAAAGTGGAGAGACATGGGGAAGAGGTCTGGAACGGAGCCTTGGGGATCCTGACATTTATTTGGTATAAATTGGGAGATGCTGGTAAAGGATACAAAAAAAAAGGAAAGGATAGAGAGGTAAAAAGAAATTCAGGGAGGGGCACCTGGGTGGCTCAGTGGGTTGGACCTCTGCCTTTGGCTCCAGTTGTGATCTCAGGGTCCTGGGATGAGTCCCCGTATTAGAGCTCTCTGCTCAGTGGGGAGCCTGCTCCCCCCACCACCACCCCCAAGTGCCTGCCTCTCTGCCTACTTGTGATCTTTCTCACTCTGTCAAATAAATAAATAAAACCTAAAAAAAAAAAAAAATTCAGGGAGAGTGGGCTGCCAAGGCAGCCAAGAGAAGAGACTCTCAAAAGAAGGTAGGAGTGACCAGTTGCAGAAATACAGCTAAGAGCTAAGTCAAGACCAGGTTAGGAATATTACCATTGAGTTTGACAGCTTCAGGGTCATTTGTGACATTGATAAGAGCAATTTGGGTGGATGAATAGCAATGTCAGGTGAAAGTGGACAGGAGGTGAGCAGTTGGAAGTAGCTGGTATAGAACACTTTTCTAACACTTTCCAAGAAGCTTTTCTAAGAAGGAGAGCAGAAAAAAGGAGCTGTGGAGGAGTGAGGATCCATCAACTGGTTTTTGTTGTTTTATTTATTTATATGTTTATCTATTTTACTTTAACATCTTTATTGTTTTAAAACAATTGTCTACATGAATTACAGAATGGTCTGCAAATCCATTCAAAGAAATAACCCATGTCTCCATGTGAGGAGCAAGAAATATTTTTAGAAAATCATTTGAACGTATATCTTCTTTAAAATAAAGTATAATTACCATACAGTGTTATATTAGTATCAGGTGTAGAATATGATTCGATTCAACAGTTCTGTACATTACTCAGCGCTCGTCATGATACATGTACTCTTAATCCCCTTCACCCATTTCACCTATCCCTTTACCCTGTTTTGTGTGTTTTCTTTTTTAAAATTTTAATTCCAGTATAGTTAATATACATATACAATGTAATGATTCAACAATTCTTTTTTTTTTTTTTTAAGATTTTATATATTGGACAGAGAGAGACATATCGAGAGAGAATGAGGGAGAGAGAGAGAGAGAACACAAGCAGGGGGAGTGGGAGAGGAAGAAGCAGGCTTCCCACTGAGCAGGAAGCTCTATGCCGGCTCCATCCCAGCACCCTGGGATCATGAACTGAGCGGAAGGCAGATGTTCAACCAAGTGAGCCACCCAGGCACCCCTGATTCAACAATTCTATATGTTGGTCAGTGCTCATTGTGTTAAATATTTTTTTTTAAATGGAAGTTACTAGAATATGTATGATAATGCAAAATAGTAGAAAGAGAGACTACTTTTTTAGTAAAGGGAAATGATAATAAGAAGACAACATTCCTTAGAAGGTTACTGATAAGGAATCCCTGCTGGTCTTACAAGGTCATTCTTCTTTGATCTACCTCTATGCATAAGAGCTCATTAAAAAGTGATTAGCATGGCTTCATAATGCAGCCCTGGAGGGGTTATGTCAAATCACACTGGAAAGATCTCCAAGAAATCCTACCTTCTCAACTTCCCTCGGGCTGGGAATTAGTTCTAGGGTTTCCCAATCTTAGGTGCTAATGGCATTTTGGTTCAGATACTCTTGTATTGTGGGGCTGTGCTTTGCATTGTAGGATGTTTAGCAGAACCCCTGACTTCTACCCAGTAGATACCAGTAGCATCCAGTTATGACAACCAAACCCAACCAAAAACCAGGCATAGCTATATGTCCCAATGGACAACCAGTGGGTTATTCAAACCTAAGGAAGTTTATTTAAAAAAAAAAAAAAAAATCATGGGGCGCCTGGGGGGCACAGTGGGTTAAGCCTCTGCCTTCGGCTCAGGTCATGATCTCAGGGTCCTGGGATCAAGCCCCGCATCGGGCTCTCTGCTCAGTGGAGAGCCTGCTTCCTCCTCTCTCTCTCTCTCTCTCTCTGCCTGCCTCTCTGCCTACTTGTGATCTCTGTCAAATAAATAAACAAAATCTTTTTAAAAAAATCAGCTAATCTTAACAGCTCTGTAAATACTGATAAATACTGTTTTTATGGTGTTATGCTGTCATGGAAAATTATTCATAAACCTGGCATGAAAGCACATTGTGCTATACATACATGTTCATATCTTTTAACTCCTACTAAAGAAATGATATAATTTGTAACATTTCAAGTAGGAAGAACCATTAAAAAAAAAAAAACCAAACCAAATATATATATCTATGGACCTTAGGGATGATGGCCAGAAAAGAAGTCACTTAGCATTTATTTGGTGCCGTTTACATTTCACATTGTGTAAATCTGGTTTTTTTTAACACTTTATTTGACAGACAGAAAGTGCACAAGCAGGGGGAGAGCCAGAGGGAGAGGGAGAAGCAGGCTCCCCACTGAGGAGGGGGTCCCACAAAGGCTTAATCCCAGACCCCCAAGATCAGGACCCAGAGATCATGACCTGAGCCAAAATCAAGAGTCCGATACCTAATTGACTAAGCCACCCGGGTGCCCCACATGACTTTTTTTTTTTTTTTTTTAAGATTTTATTTTTGGGGTGCCTGGATGGCTCAGTCGGTTAAGTGTTGTTTTCTTGATTTTGGCAGGGGTCATGATCTCAAGGCTCCTGAGGCCAAGCCCTGCCTTGGGCTCAGTGCTGGGCTTGGAGCCTGCCTAAGATTTTCTCTCCCCCCCTGTCCTTCCCTCCTCCCTCTGGCCCTCTGTTAAAAGAAATTTTATTTTTTAATCTCTACACTCAATGTGGGACACCAACTTACAACCCAAGATCAAGAGTCATATGCTCCACCGAGTGAACAAGCCAGGCACTCCTATAAACCTGGTTTTTAAAAATTTGTGTGTGTTGGGGGGGTGGGGGGTGGGGGGGTGTTTTAACATGCTCATTGTGTAAAAATGAAACAAAATAAAAAAGCCAGATAAAAGAAAATTAAAATCCGCATCAGTTAACATTTTGGTGCATGTGCTTTAGGACTTTCTGTGCATTCTTTCATTTATTCATTAACCTATTTATTACACATCTCCCTCAGAAAGGATAAGAACTGGGCAGTGAAGGGAGGTTTTGTTTTTTTAATGGGGGAGATTTGGTCATGTTTGAAATCCAATGGAAAGAAAGACTTAGTTTAGAAAGAGGAAAACAGGATGATCCTTAGAGTGAGGTCTCGGAGAAGGAATGGATTTTAAGCATCCAAAGGAGGGATCATCTTTTGATTAGGAGGGAAAAAAAAGGCTTTTGGAGAGGACGGAAAGAAGATCCACATATACACACGAACACATGTATCTTATTGTATCTACGTGGAAGTATATTGCTGTATCTACCTGTAGGTATGTATGACTCTCCCATGGACACTTAGGTATTTTTACTTTACTACACGTATGTATCGTATTGTATCTACATGTTTCCTGCCGTGGAGGCGAGTTTGGAACCCGCTTTTTCACTTACTCTATTGTAACCACTTTCCCCCACGCCGTTACTTTTCCTCCCCATCATTTTTGCAGTACCCTAACGCACGCCAGTAATTCAGTTTTTAAAGCTACCTCAGAGTGTTGGACATTTTGGCCGTTTACGATTTTTCACCATCATCATCCCCGGAACTTAACATGTTGACGGTGAAATATTTGTAGATGTCCGGGATTGTTTTCGGAACAGAAATTCATGCCAGGGGAATTGCTGAGTCAAACGGTCTGCAAAATTCGGTGGATAAAAATCGCTTTTAAGGCTTATAGTCCTCCTCAGGTATGCATTCTTTACCTGAGGAGGAAGCAGAGGAGCAGAGAGGTTAAATAATTGGCCCAAGGTCAAAAATAATTACAAGTGCCGGATTTCAAAAGCCGCGCGAGCTCATCTTGCTGCGGCAGGGGTAGAATTTGCGGTTTAGCCCTTTTTTTTTTTTTTTTTTTTGGTGTGTTTCGGTGGGGGAGGGGCCGGGCGGCAGGGAAGGAAACTTGTGTCGCAGCAAAGAAGGAGGAGGAGGAGGGGCGGGACTCCAGTCGGATCGCAGTCGGCCGCGGCGACGGAGGCTGGGCCCGGGGCTCGGCGGGCCCCCCAGCCGCTGTGCAGGGCGCCTCGGAGGCGGTGACCCTCCCCTCAGGGAGGTCCGGCGGCCGACCGCGAGCCGCACCCGGGTGGTTGCCAAGGGCCTGCCCCGGCTGCGGGGTTAGTTGCTAGGGCCTCCATCTTGAGGCCGGTGGCCGCGGCGGCCCCGGAAGGGGTTGCCGAACAGGGCATTCACTTCCGGTCTGGGGCCTGCGGCGGCGGCGGTGGCGGCGGCGGCGGCAGCGGGTCGGTGTAGAAAATGGCGCTGGTGCAGCGGCTCGGGCCTCTCCCCGCGGCGCTGCGGAGGGCTTGAGGCTCGTGAGCCTCACTCGCCGCGCCCCACTTGCTCGTGCACTTTACACACATGAGGTGAGTGGGGCGGGGGCCTCCCTCCAGGCGGGAGGAGCCTGGGGCGCTGCCGCAGGGCCCGCGACTGCGGGCGGCGGCGGCAGCGGCGGCGGCGGGCGTCCCCGAGACTTCGGTCCCCAGCGGGGGGGTGTGGGGGCGCCGCTGCGGAGGTCGGGCAGGAGGCCCGGAGGGGCCGCGTTGCGCGGCTGGGGCCGGGCCGGGGGCTGCGGCTCGCCCGCGCCTCCTGCCCGCAGTCCGGGCTGCAGCCCCGCAGCTTTGTGAGCACCCCCGGGCTCCCCTCCCCTCCCCCATCCGCCCCGGCGCGAGCCTCTGCCGCAGCGGCTCCGTTTTCACGCGCATCTCTCTCTCTCTCTCTTTTTTCTTTTCTCTTGCAGAGAATTGGAAGCTAAAGCTACCAAAGACGTAGAAAGGAATCTTAGCAGGTAAGATGGGCGAGCTTCCGTCTGTCGCCCCATTAATCGTGTATTTCCACTCTGGTTCGTCCTTTCTGGGTTTAGAAGTTCCCCCGTGTCATTTTCTTTTCGCACGCAGGGAATTGGCATTCGGGAGAAGAGGCCGGAGGGAATATTGTATGGAGGGATTGCGGGGAGATGCGTAATTACGCGTGTGTTCTTTTCTTTCGGGGAAGAAAAAACAGCGAAAAGCAATTCTTGTAAACTTAGTTAAAGCATTCTCACCCTTTTAGAATTTAATTAGGGGACTTGTGCATTAATTACTATTGTAAATGGTTGCAGGCATTGTGTGACTCATGATTGAGGCGGCCCTTATGGCGGGCTGTCAAACTGTTTTGGCTTCACCGTTATTACTTTGTAACTCAAATTGTTGCCTTTATAAGAAGATACTATGTTCGCATTTTTTCCCCCCAACACATTGTAGTCAGGCGGATTCTGTTGCACTGGAAACAGTTTTGCCCTTGAACTTTACCGAGCATAAACTGCGTTTTGTTTTCTTTTGAAACTACATTTGTGTCTGTGTTCGGTGTGTGCTCTTTTTATCAACTGGTAAAATAATTAAAAATCTATTCCCATTAAATGCTTATCGTTTCTGCTGGGCCTGAGTGTTTTTGCACTGGTAACTTAAATCTCCACCACAAAGGGAGTTTTTTGATTTTTAAACGTAGCCTTTGTGGAAACGATTAGCTTTAGCGAGCTGTAACTGCTTAAAGCATCAGAGCATTGCATTATATTTAACTCTTTTCAAATTCATTTTCTTACGGTCTTGTCCAATAATGTCCTTATTGGCCGTTTTCTTTTGAATCATATGGGGAAACTCAGAGAAACTTCTGGATGAACCTTATCAGTGAGCAGCTTTCTTTTTCACTTGGACAGGATAAAATAAAATCTCTCCTATCTTAAGTCTTAAATGTAGTTTGTCCTTTACGATTGTAAGTTTTACGTTTATGGTGAGGTTAATAACACTCAGTTCAAATCATGTGAATATTTTTCACCATATAAAATTATCCCAAATGCTGGTCTTTTGAGTTTTATAGATATTAATCTGGTAACGTGATAGTTAAAAAAATCTCAGCGGGTGAAGGGTGGGCATCATTGGCTTACCAAATAAGAGATTTTCTTATAATTATCATTTCTTATAATTATGGGGACCGGTTCAAGGAAATTAAGCCTGACATCACTGATTAAACAACTGTTCTTTAGACATTTAGTAATTTTTGTTGTCAAAAGCTTAAAAAAATATATGTTAAGATATGAGACCATTAAAGAAAACAGATTGAATTTTCAGCAGCAGAAGGGAGCTTGGAGTCTATTTCTCCTCCCATTTTTGCTTTGTCAGGTAACTATATCAGTATAATTTCTATGGAGGTTTTCTGGGGCTTAATTAAAAATTGCCTTTACCAGTTATAATTTTCATGTGCTATTACAGTTGGAGAGAACGTAGAGTCTCTATATAAGTTATATATCAGAGTTTGAATCCCAGCCCTGCCACTTACAATATGACCTTGATTCTTGGCAAATCACTTAGCCTCTGTATGTAATCTATAAAATGAGAGATTTGGGCTAGTCAGTTCCTAACGTGTGTGAGGTCCCCTGGGTTGTATGAAAAGGAGTTCAGTGTCGTCCCTGGCCACAGAGAGCATGTACAATCTGGTAGGAAGACTGTCATATGTACATGAATAACTAATACAAAGTAGATGGTGTAGGGGTTAAGTTACCATCTCATTCCATATTTAAGGATAGCTCTACACTGCAGTTGGTAGTCAGGCACAATGAGGAGGAACAATTTTTAAGGAGATTACAAGGCAGTATATCAGGACTGTGGGAGGGTAGCATTGCCTAAAGGTTAAAAGGTCCAAGGAGGGAGAGGTGTGATTGGGTGGGCAAATGCTTGCCTTCAGCTCCATCTCTAGGTCTGTGCTTCCTTTTTCCCAAATAAGGAGAGTGTGTATGTCTTGAAGCATTTATGTTTTCCCCAGGAAATCAAGGCATTATTCTGTATTCCTTTAGCAAACATTTCTTGAGCATCTTCTATGTTCCAAATGCAAGGCTAGGCACTTGGGAGGGGAAGAACAGAAGTAGTAAGTGTACTGAATGCTTACTATCTGCCTGGCACATTTTCTGAAGACTTTACATGGACTCATCTGATCCCTGGGTCACGGTGTGAGGTAGGTACTATTATTACTGTTTTACAGATGAAGACTTTGAGGCATAAAGAGGTTAAGTAACTTTCAGGAGGCCACATCACTGGTTTTGGAGGAGCTGTCAGGCTTCGGATCATATTGTATTGTCTCTTTTTAGAGGCATGGTTCTTCATCTTGAAAAACTTGAAAATATCTTTGAGGAGGCAGAACCCACAGGTACATTTGATACTTCTAGATCAGAGTTTCTTAACTTGGGCTCTGTTGACATTTTGGACCAGATAATTTATTATTGTGAGGTCTGCCCTGTGCCTTGTGGGATGGTCAGCAGCATCTGCCTTTATCACTCCCTTCCAGTTGTAACATTCAGAAATGTCTTTAGATATTGCTAAATGTTCTCTGGGGGGCAAAATCAGCCCCAGCTGAGAACTGCCATTCTAGATCTTCATATTCCCTGCAGATAACCAAACGTATGAAATTTTAATGTTAAATATTTAAACGTTAATTTTTATATCTTTTAATACATTGGAAGTACAAATCCTATTGTGTGGGCCCCTAGATTGAACCTTCTAGTTCTGAATGTTGGCGTTGTGTTGCCATTCTCCTTTCCCTCTGCTAAGTGGCGAATCCTCAAGACAGTGTGCCAGGTAGCCAGTACCAGTTAAACAGAATTGGCAGAAGAGAAATTTAGTTTACTACCTGGGGTAAACTATATTTTTAAATAACACTGTTGGCCGTTAAAATGTGTCACTTTATGTCATTATCATGGGCATTCAAAAAAGGGAACTGTGATGGGGTGGGAGTGGTCACCACTGTAACTGAACTTTATTTTTTTAATTTTTTTTGAAAAGATTTTATTTATCTGAGAGTGTACAAAATTGTGGGGGTGGGCAGAAGGAGAGGGAGAAGCAGACTCCCTGCTGAGCAGGGAGCCTGATGCGGGGCTCCAGCCCAGGACCTTGAGATCATGACTAAACCGAAGGCAGACGCTTACCCAACTGAGCCACTCAGGCACCCCTAGAACTGAAGTTTAAAGGATGAACTCAATTTGGAAAGGCAGAGAAAAGGGCAGAGTAAGAACAACAGAACTAGTGGTACAAAATCCCAGGTAGTACAGGGAGTTTTGAAATAGCAGTGGGTAGTTTGGATTGGTGCGGAAGAGCAGGGCCAGATGCAGAGGTTCTTGAGTATTAGGTTGAGGACTTAGATCTTGTGGCACAGATCTTGTTGGTAGTATGGAGCTATTCCATGCTTTTGGGTAAGGTGGTGTGGTATGATAGAATAAGGCAGGTGTTGATGAAGACCTGAATTACAGTGTTGGGAGAAAAGAGCTGAGAGTGGGAGATACTGAGAAAGTGGAATCTGGCATTTGGCAGTCAACTAAGCTGGGATTAGTTGTGAGAGGGGTTTAAACACCATCGTGGGTGAATGAGAGATTGACCCAGCCTCTGAACAGAAGAGAGGTCAGAACAGAAATAGGAGTTTGGTGAGAGAATATGGTAAGTTACATTTGCTAGTTGTAAAAAAAAAATCCAAGGCAACTGATCTAATTTTAAAAAATATTTTGGAGCAAAAAGGCATAGAATCATTCAGTATTTAGAGCTGGACCGTGAGATTAGAGAGACCAGCCAGGATTCTGATCTCTTCCATTTTACAAGTCAGAAAGCTAAGGTTTAAGACAGATCCAGTAACTCAGTCAAGGTTATATTCTCTCAAGTGACGGAGCTGGGATTCCAACAGGTCTTTTGACTCTTAACTGCTGAGGTCTTGCAAATGTGCAATATTTTATTTTATAATGCATAATAGAAAAATAACTTTGATTTCTCATTTCTTTCTGAAAATGTAAGAACACTTAATGTATTTTGTGCCCATTTTAGTAATTAATTTATTTCTATAATGTAGAGTATATTGTCTAACGAAAAAGTTAAACACTTCACGTTAGCTGATTTTTCCTCCCTAAACCAACTATTAAACACCATCATTTAAGAAAAATTGTTAAAGATGCTGTAGTGCCATATAATGTAGCATCTAAACTGGGACATTGTTATCTGAGGCACTTTTTCCTGGGACAGGTGCTAAATAAGGAAAGATTAGGGACAGCAGGAATAAACCAGAGCATTAGGTCTGTCTAGATAAGGTGGATCCTACTTTTGGCAATTCATCCACCTTTATCTGAGAAAAAAAAAAAATTACTTCCAATTTTGTTAAGGTTTTCTGTTGCTTTCCTGTGATACGGTTTGTAGGCCAACAAATTCATATTGGTAGGTTTCTTCCTCGCTTAATTTGGCAGCTATGTGGTAGTCAATTGATAAAATAAATGAATCAAAAACTGTAAGCTTAATTTAAAAATGCGTAACAGCCCTCTGGAAAATTTAAATATGAATATCATTAAAAAGTCTGAGTACCACTCTGTAACCTCTTGTGTTTTTGGCTTCTGAAGTAAGTCTGCAAGTATAAATTAAAGTCCCTTACAGTTCTGTTTTCTGGCAACCTCAGAAGTATTGCCCGTGATTGGAGAGACAAAAATAGAATGTGCTGTATGTTTTCTGCTCAGAATGACTTATGACAGTCTCACTCAAAGTCAAAATGTCCTCCCATTTAAAATTTTTAAAAAATCATTCTAACCTTCAGCAAAATAGCAAGATTAGTGTGGCGAACATCTGTATATCTCCCTATTATTAATATTTTGCCATATAGTTTTATCGTGGCCAATTCATCCTTAAGTAAGACAACACACATCTCCTGAGAATAAGGGCATTCTGTATAACAATCTCATTACCACTCACAGGTAAGTTTAACTTTGTCACAATGCCCTTCTGTCCTTATTCA